ATCTTTGAAATGGCCACACCAAACCTTAAAACAAATAAAAATTTGATATATGTTAATTAATGATAATTACTGTAACAGTATGTCCAGCTCGAATAATTGTATTAGATGGAAATCGAAAACGACAAATAGGTTTTGAAGCAATAATTTGTTGTAAATAATGTCCACTCAAATCATAATCATCTGAATTTGATAAATTTAATAAACGAATATAATCACCATTTTTTGATTCAATTTCATGAATACGAATATTTGTTATTATACTTTTTTTATTTTCAAATAAAATTAACAAAAATAATCAAAATAAAAAAATCTTACTTTTCAATTTTAGCTTTTAATTCTGACTGATTTTCTTTTGATGAATTCGAATATGAATAAGGTATAATTGGTGTTGTTATTTCATCAAATGTTTCATTTTCTAAATTAAAAAAAAATATAAAAAAAAAAAGAATCTTTTGTTAAATAAAAAATAAACTTGTATCATTGTGTAATTGTTGATTAGGTTGAATAATTGTCTGTTGTTGATTATGAAGATTTTCATCAAGACTAAATGTAACTGCTTTAGGAGATTTTGTTCTTGATGATGATCGATCAGATTTTTTCATATTTGATGAACGTTTAATTGTTGGGTAATTTGAATAATTTTCAATAATTGATGATGAATCATTTGATGATGCAGAATTTATTAAAATACGATCAGTTCGACGAATTAATGGATTATTTTCTCTATGAATATTTTTATTTATTCTTTCTGATTGAAATTCATCAACAGTATCATCATCATCATCATCGTCCCATTCTGATTTAGTTCCATCAATTGGAATTATTCTTTAAATAAATAAATTTTATTTATATAAATAAATATGAAAAAAAAAAGAAAAGAAAAGTTCCATACTCATCTTCTTCTTGTTCAATAATTGTTTGATTTAAAATAGTTTTAACAAATGATAATTCTTGAATAATATCTTCATGTGTTTTTGATACAATTGACATTAATTCATATAATTTATCATTAATTAATTTAATTGATGATAATTTTTCTTCAAAATTATTAACAAAATAAATTAAACGTTTTATTGAATTATTATTAACCATTGTTTTATAATCGACACAAATCTGTTTCATTTCCATTAATATACGAAACAAAATATTTCTTATTTTTTAAAATTTTTTACAAAAAAATAAACAATCTGTCTTCTAAATGCAACAGTTAAACACGTCTTGAGTGGATTACTTTAAAATGTGTAAATGTATCAAAAAACGAAACGTCAAACTCTAACAACAATAACAACAAATGGTAACTAACTGTATCGAAAAAAAAAATCTTGAAGAAAAAAAAAGCGAACGTTACTTTAAAGTTGTGTGTTAAAATAACATTTCGAGATATAATAATAAATCGAAAGTGTAAAAAAATTTCTAAATTATTTCATTTTAATAAAAATTTTATTTATTTTGAATAAATTTTCAACAAGAAAATTCTTCATATAATCTTATTAGTTTTTTTAAATAAAATAGTTATTCATTTTATATTTGACTTTTTCTTATTAAATTTAATTCTAATGAGAAATATGAAACAATCTCTGAAGAATTAAAATCGAATATAGAAAATGAAATATAGATTTTTCTCAAATGTAAACATTTTTTCTTGGAAACTGTTATTGATAAGATATGTCCTACGCATTTAAATCTAATCAATGGTAGAATTTCAATTGACTACATATCATTCTTATAAATATAGAAATCAATTGAAAATCATCAATATTTTTTCAACAGTTTTCTTCAAATCAATAAAAACAAAAAAAGAAAACAACTTAAGTCAATTGATGACTTGCTCACAATAATTTATTTTTGCTATTTTCTATATATTTTTAAGTTTCTCTCATGTGTTCACATCGTTATCAATAGAAAGAACGATTCTTCTATGTTTTTTTGCTTTAGCCATGTTTTTTAAGCAGAAAAACATGGAATCTACGAAGAAATTTCATAAAAAGTAACAGGCTTTTTATTATGATTGAGCGAATCGGTTGATAATTTTTATTTTTTAAAATAAATTTCTAGAAATATTGTTTGTTAAAATAACTAAAATAAACTAAATTTAAATATAAAATATTGAAAATTCAATAATATAAAATAAACTTATTGAGTGTTAAATACTTCTCAGGATTCTAAACAATTTTTATTCTTAATAACAAGTTCCAAATCAATGATCGAGAACAAATAAATAAACAATCAACAATGATTTATTAATTTATTTATTTTAAAAAAATTTGATGTGTAAATCTTCTAGGAAAGAGACTTTTAATATAACGTTACTAATAAAACATGGAAATTATTTTTTAAATTTTAATAATTTTGACATTATTTATATGTTTGTAAGAATAATAGATTGACTATTTATATATAAGTATAGAATAGATTTAAATATTTATGCCATATTTTTTAAATATTAGCCTAGAAAAATCTGAAAACATTTGAGAAAAGAATATTATTTTAATGAATCAATATTTATTTTCGACCTTTTTATCAATCAAAGTCAACTATTTATTAAGTTAATTATAAACTTACTCCGTTGACCTTGTCTCTTTTAAGATTTTTTAAAATAAGTATTCAATTAGTTTCGATAGGATCACACTTTAAGAGTACAACAAACTATTCATAAAAAAACCCCATATTCATCTATTTCAACTTGTTATCACGTTAAAGAACAAAAATATCTTTATATATAATTTCAATTAGTCTCTCTTTTTTTTTGTAAGTGTCACATTTTTATTATGATTATCAACAATTTAATTGAATTGTTTTGCTATTAGTGTTAAATAAAGATTAGTTAAGAGTAATATCGATGAGAATTAAAAATATTAATTAATAATAATTAAATATAAATACAAAAAACCTAAAATGATTGTTTTTATTTTAGTAGATATTTAAATAAATAAATAATCAATATAAATTCTAATATGATAGGACTAGATTTTATTTCTATTTCGATATTTTTTTAAAGTGAAAATAAGATTAAATATTTAATCTAGTTTGAAAATGTTTCGAGTGTTATTTAAATATTTGATAGTGAATTTCTAAAAATGTCTAAGAAATAAATTTGTTTATTTAAAGAATAAAAAGTAAATTTGTTCTGTTTTTCTAGATATAAAAATAAAATTGAGACGAATAAGATAAATATTATTTTCTATATTTGAAAAAAAAACAAATAAAATAAGCGAAAAATAAAGCAAAGATCTGGTTAAATAAAAAAAAAAGCATTGTTTGTTTAAAATAAAGTAAAATTATTCACTAAATCCTGAAAAAGTAAGATGATGTTCAAGTTGAATTTGATTAGCAACCATAGCAAAAAGAAGAAGTTGATCATTATAATAAAGTCGATCTATTTCAATACAAACAGCATTTCGACGTTGTTGTCTTTTACAATTTTTAAATGTTAAATATTCATCATTATCAGATGTTTGAGGAAAATAATCATTTTTTCTATAATCAGACATAATTGCATTTTTAACAATAGGTCTTAAATGAGCAATTGTTTTCCACCAATTAAAATCGTGTTCATGTGATGATTTAGCTACATCTTCATCATATTCAGGTAATAATTGATATCGTCGAAATTGAAGACAAAGAGAATTTAATGAAGAACTTAATTGATTATTTTGTATTTGAGATAAATTTAATAAATGTTTATCTTTTGTTTTTTCTAATAAATTCAAATCAACATCTGTTGAAGTATCTTCAAGTGATATACTTCGTCTTAATGTAAGTGGTGTATGATGTAAATGTTGTTTTAAACATCGTCGTTCAGCTAAATAATGATAATTATCTAATAAACGTTTATCATCATTTTCATATGGATTAAAAGTTATACTAGTTGTCATCTTTGTTTGGAATTTTCTATAAAAAACAAAAAATGATTTTCTTTTTTAAATAAGGAAATCAAATAAGATAAGTCTTACCTTTTCTACTTTTTAAAAATTCTATATTAATGTTGAGAATGTTAATTCGTATCGCATTTGCTTTACTATAAATATATATCTAAAGAAAAATAATAATTTTCTTTTTTTATTTCAAGTGTTTTTCATTATCTCTCGTTTTTTTTTCTGTTCTTTATCGTTTGGTTTCATAGGATAAACTAAGTAAACGGAAGTTCCCATATAATCAATGTATATTTTATGTTTTTTTTTCTCTCAAATAGTTAATATCTCTCCTATATAATATAGAAGTTGAACATTATGTTGATAAAACATATCTTATTTCAAATATATTAATCATGTTTCTTCAATAGATTATTTTTATCATAGGCATGACTTTATTATAATATCAGACATTTTATTAGACTGTAGGCGCGACATTAGTTCGTGACTTCAACTCTAAATATATATTTGATGGTTTATTCATCTATGAGACATTTTAATTAATATCTATTCTATTCTTAATATTAGAAATATTCAGAAAATTCTTATCTACATATCAAATTTATCATTTATTTATTTGATTAGTTTATTTTTAATTTAGTTTAGATTTTCTTACTGTATTTCAATCAATTAATTATTATTATTACTATTCTATTATTACATTATTATTGTTCAAAGCTAAAAAAGAAGTTTTCTAATCGAAAGAAAAAAAAAAAGTTATTTCTCAAGTTTTATCTAGCGAAAGAAGATCCCCAACTGATTCACGCTGTTTTCAATAATACAGTCCACGAATAATACAGTCCACGGCCATTGAAAGTATAACCTTTGAATTTTTTCTTTTTTATTAATATACGTTTTTTATGTATTAATCTACTATATATAGGAAGAAAGCCCGAAATGCACTGCATCTTTTGGTATATTTACATTGACCATCAAATGCAGTTTAAAATATGAAAGGTGTATTAGAAGAAAAAGTACCTTTTTCTTTTTTGCTACAGTGTTCATAATGTTGTAACATTTTTTATTTCGCATATATCTCGACTTAGATAAATGATAAAACGTTGAATTTTTATCCAAAAGCTGCGCCATGAAAAGCTCTACAAAAGCTGCATGATTGAATTCTTTTTTTTAGCTGTTCTAGTGATTTTTCTGATACTCAAAATGAACAAATTACATGCCAGTGTCACTTCCTATCATATTGGAACTGTTGGAAGACTTTTTTGATCGGTATATATCTCGACTTGAGAAAATGACGGAATATGGAATTTTTTTTCAAAAAGGTATGCCGTCGAAAGCTCTAGAAATTTGTATAGACGAAGTCCTGTAGTGAATCAGAGAAGTCCTCGAAACGTTTTCTACATGATGGGAAGTTATACTGTTATGTAAGTTGTTTCATTGTGAGTATCAGAAAAACCACTAGAGCAGATAAAAAACAATTCGATCATGCAGCTTTTGTAGAGCTTTTCACGACGCATCTTTTGGATAAAAATTCAACGTTTTATCATTTACCAAAGTTGAGATATATGCGAAATAAAAAATATTACACCAGTACGGATACCCGAAATTTGATAAAAGAAAAAATGTCACTTTTTTTTCTGATACACTTTTTATACTTCAAACTGCATTTGATGGTCAATGTAAATATACCAAAAGATGCAGCACATTCCAGGCTTTCTTCCTATATATAGTAGA